ATAAATAATTAAAAATACTAATAAAGATACAAGAATTCTAATTGAATAAATAAAACAATATAATTTATAATTTTAAACTTATATTATAATATTATAATATAAATAATTTTTATTAATTATATATAGTATCCATATCCATTAAATTTTTGTGAGTAAATTCTTCTCATACACTCCATACCTATTAGTATCTTTAATGGAAAAAGTTATTTTGAATTCTTGATGTATTTTTTAATAGATCCCTTAACGCCATGTAGAATTTAAGAAGATTTCTAAAAAGATTTCCATTGAAAGACCTATAGATTCTTAATTAACTATATATGTGGTTTTGACATTAGACTCACTTTGTTTCCTTTTTTGCTGTAAAAAGGGGTTGTTTAGGATTATTGTATAAGAATGGTACATGTGCATTAGTATATGGGCCTAGCTAGGTCCAACTGCAGAAAGGAGAAGCACCGTAGAATGTGTACTCATGTTTGCCGAAAATAGAAAAGACACGAGCGATCAACACAAGTCCAGTGTCGCATAACGCGATTGAGTGTTGATTATCCATCCCAAAATTAACAGTATTCCGATTATAGGAATAAGCGTTAAACGAATAGAGAGGCATTAAAAGCTGAGGCATAGCGTATCTCTGCCGCTCCACTGCGCCAGTTTATAAAGAGAAACGTTTGGAGTTAGAGAAATAAAAGAAAGCTAGGAAGAGAAAAAAAGAAAAAGAAAAATGGAAAGCAAAAGCAAATACTGGTGGGTGTCTGCTACGTGCATGTGGCTGATAGTAGCGCCTTACGCAAGCGGTGACATAGACCTGGGGATGCTATCGGCTCAAGCTCGGACTCAGGCTGCGGAAAGTAGTGGCAGTGGCGGTAGCAATGGCACAGCAGGAACTTTGACAGGCAAGGAGCTAATTAAGAATATATGCGAAGAAAGGGGGAACCAGGAGTTGTGCATCAAAGTGCTTTCGTCGGAGCCAACCAGTGACCAAGCCACGTTACAAGACCTGGCAATGATATCGCTTAAGGTGGCAGGATCCAATGCCAGGGACATACTAGTTGATGCTAAGAAAATGATTGACGACCCTGATTTGACCCCACAAATGCAACAGGGCGTCTCTGATTGCAAGGAGAATCTCTTGGATGCAGAGGGCCAAATTCAGGACTCTGTTGCCGCCATATTGAACAATGACAAGCTCGATGCTCAAAAATGGCTCAAGGCAGCCTTGGCTGCCATTGATACGTGTGACGCTTCTATCCCTGGTGACGATGACATTCTCTCTAGAAGGAGTGTGGTGTTTCGCCAATTGTGCAACATTGCCGTTGCCATCAACAAGAACATGATGGGCATCAAAAGCTAAGTTACCTCGATCCACAGATAATTAATAAGCTAGCATCGTCTTGGAGTCAATTGCATGCGACCACCCATGTATTGTGTAAGAATAGTGCACCGCAGAGGTGTTAGACCAGAGTTTTCCTTATTTTTTCAGAACTTGTTCCAAGTTTATTGCGTTCATGTTTGCACATTTCAAATTCTTGTAAAAACGATTCATAAAGTTTGTTTATTTATGTGAATTAAATTTAATACTTGAGTTTAACTAATACAAGATTTGATATATATATTCTTTTATATAGAGCACAAGTTATATCCAAATCCGAGGCAAGGTTTGCAATTGAAACAGAGAGGCTTCTGCCTGAAATCGAAAATAAGACCAAAGCTAAAGGAATAATACGGCAGACAAGCTTTGCTTTGCATATTAATATAAACAATGTAGTTTTACATTGCAGTTGCAGGGATTAGGTATTCTGCTTATTTAGCCAATTAGAAAAAATAATAGGAAATAGTGAATGAGTGATGGATGTATACATGTATGATTCTATATGAAGTTACTGGCGAAAGGCACTCCGGTCTGGGGTAGCCAGTTATCTCCAAGCAAGAAGTTAGAGACGGTAAAATTAGCAGCATCGGTGGCATTAATGACGTGGTAACCCTGCCACGTGACTCTGTTAGCAGTGGTGGATCCAGGTCCGGTGTTGTTAAACTCGGCATAGTACAAAGTGGTCAAAGCAAAATCAGCGTCCCATTGGCGCCACCCAGCAGGATCGACAACACTGTCTATAAAGCTCTGCATGTAAACCGTCCTCGAGTAGTTTTTCCAAGGCCTTCCCAGATAAGTTTCAGCGGCATTTAGGTTGGCAGCCAAATCATCGGCTGCTCTAATTGTGCAGTTGTGGATGGAAGTGCCCGTGTTTTGGTTGGGGTCGGTTCGGCCCTGTGCGGTGATGGCGTTGAATTGCCCACTCATCGGAAGCCGAGGGTACATGTTGCAGTTTTGGAACACAGCCGCAGCGTTTCCGAAGATGAAATCCACCGTGCCGTAGATGTCGCATTCTCTGTAGAATTGTCGCAGGGAATGCGCGTACAGCGTGTCCTGGTACCCCTCGAAGCTGCACCTGTAGAACGTCGACAGATCTGCGCCGTTGCGAAGTGCCACCGCTTGGTGCTTCTCTGCCCCCGCGGTGTTGCGGATAGTCATGTTCACACCCACGAATCCCGCGCCAACCACCGCTGCAACATGCATATCAACATATATATCATAACATAACTTGGTCAAAAGTAATGAATAAAAAATAACTTTATAAAGAATATTGTTGAATATATAGATGTATATATATATGGTCAATATAAAATGTTTTATATTAATAATTAATAATATCTTTTAAATTATTTTTTTTATTAAATAGATAATTAATATAACACTATTAAAAGATATATTAAAAATATATAAATAATTAATTTATAATTAATTAAGTTAATGATCACTTATATATTATTAATATAAATTTTTTTACATTAATAATTAATTATATCTTTTAATGTAAATATATTTATTTTTAATAATAATATGAAATAATTAAAAAATATAATTAATTTTATGGTGATTTTAGAATAGTTTAGTTTACGTACCAAAGGTGGCTGACTTAAAAGTTGTCCATCCATCAACAACACTGCGATTCCCGGTAATAATTGTTTGATTGATGCCATCTCCAATCATCATCAAATACGTCTTCTTCTTATCAATGGACACGTTTTCCTCGTAAACACCCGCGCTGACGTAGATCAGAAAGTACCCCGCCGACGACGAGGACTTGTTGGGCGCCGCGGCAATGGCGTCGCTGATGGTGGTGAAGTTTCCGCTGCCATCTTTGGCCACCGTCACGATGTCTTTCACCTTAACCTCGTCAGCCACGGCGGCCGGAAGCAGCTTCCTCCGGGTGACGGAGTCGTAGAGGTGGGTGGAGGTGGGGTGAAAGGCGGTGACGTTAGCGTGGTGGGGAAGCCATCCCTTTGTGAAGAGCGCGAGAGAGACGGTGTAGAGCTTGGTGTCGTTGGAAAGCGGAAGGGAGAGTCGGTGGGTGAGGGAGGCGTTGGGTTGAAGTTGAAGGCCTTCTAAGCAGGTTTGTTGGTTGGTGAGAATGGCGCTGAGGAGGGTTTGAATGTCGTCGGCTTCCGAAGTGGGTAGGAATGGCGTTGTTTTGTTGACCGTTTGGAAGGAAGTCGAGAGAAAATCCACGTTGAGCTCGGCGAGGGTTTGGCAATCTTGGAGCGCGTGGATTGCGGCGCTCGAGAGAGAGGAGCGGCGTTTCAGATATTTGTTGACTAAGTTTAAGAAAGTGGTGGCTTGGGACAGCGACTTTCTGACGGAGAACCTCCCGTAGTGGTAAACGCTGCCGTTTTGGGGTGGGAGCACGGAACTGCAATAAGAAGGGTCTGGGGTGGATTTGCATATGGTTCTGGGAGAGACGCGGGTGTCTTCGAATGCTTGAGATACGAATAACGAGGATAGGAAGAGGATGATGAGAATCGTATTGCGTGACTTAGTGTTGGCCATTGGGAGAACTAGATTAGGTTTCAGTTTGCAAGCGATGAGTAGTTTGTGTTGGGAATTCGGTTCCACCGCTTGCCATTTATAGAGGAGCAAGATTCCGTAATGCGTTTACGCTTTACATCTAGCTACTAGCTACCATGTAGTATTCTTGGTTTTTCACTCTTTTGGCTGCTCAGTGCAAATGCAATGCAAACCATACACCGCTCTTTCGAAAGAAAGGATTATGCTTGTCAACTACATTTGCATAATTATCATATATATCCTTTTATGTCCTAGTCAAATACGAGTAATGTTTTTTTCCTTTGTCAAACAAGTTGTCTTCAACCTAATCTCACACAAATCCGATTGGTTTTTACCATGGGCAAAAAGAGTCTAAGCTGCTATGCGAAAATGTTGACAAGGTCAATGGATTATGGTTCCATGCTATGGACACTTTATAAATTAATCCACGTAAATGGACGCCACTGTATACTTTATTATTTTTACAATATGGAGGAGAGAAACCAAAGCAAATTGTTAATTTGGAGAAAAAATTGAAACTGAAATTTAAAGAAAAATGAAGATAAAAAATATTTATAAAGGTCAATATGCATTATGTTATCTCTATATCATATATGTTATTTCCTTTTTTCTTTTCTTCCTATCTCTTACTTTTCTCCTAAGATGTAAAGGGTGTGATCAATAAATAAATTCTTTTTTCTTATTTATTATAAATATGGAGAAGGTACATGTATTGAGCTGCAAGGGTTGCACTGGCAACATTTTTAACTTCTAATTTTTTTTATGGCTAAATACGTAGGTTTCATTACAAGTCAAACTGTATATTAACACAATTCATACTTCTAAGCTTAACTTTCAATGAAAAATAATCTTATTTTTATTAATCTTACATTACTATTACTGGTCATGTAATCATAATTCATAATTAATATTTAAATAACATAATCAATTCAAATTTAATTTCAATTAACTTAAAAAATATAACAAAAATATCTCTTAATCTATAGATACTCATAACTCATTAGACCTTATTCAATTCTTTAAATATTTAAGTTAATGCATAAATATATTTTAATATATATATACATATATATATATATATATATATATATATATATATATGTTAACTAGTTTATCATTAGGTTCAACACCAAAGGTTACCATTTAGGAGAATACTTGAAAGATTGGATATATAGTCAATTATCGACATCAAAATAGTAATGTGTATAATCGAGGACAATTCGGTCAAAATAAAGTCTCTTATTACAATCATCGTAAAACGTAATATTTGATTATTATATGACATTAGAGACTCTTAAATATGCTTAATAATCAAATCATAAATATACCTGTATCAGACATTTATTAAGTATATATACAGTAATTCAATTACTTTTGAATACTTGCTTACTTCCCTTTTACAGATACAATCCATATTACATAGGAAGATGAAGGACGAATAAATCAAGGACCAATAAACCAAAAATCAAAGACCTTGAATAGAATTTGCATCCTTTTTTCAACAACAATTTCAATTGAGATACATAAAATGCTAAAAGACGGGTGGCAGCAAGTCAGAACGTAAAGAAAGCGTTTGGTAAAGACTTGCCTATCTTTTGGTAACAAGGCATTTGGAATTATGCATTGGTCAATGATGCCTAACAAGTTCTATGAGTCATAAAGTATATCTTGTTTCAATATTGAAATTAGGTAATTGCGAATTCGAACTAGTACAGTTTATCAAACATTGGAAGTCCCCGCCCGTTTATTATTTGTGTGTTTTCCCTTTAAATATTTAAAAATAAAAATGTTATACTTTTGCAAAAAGTAAAGAATAATTTCAGTGCCTGCTTAAAATTACTTTTCTATAATTACCATTATCTTTTTTATAAAGAGAACTCTTGAAATCTAAAAATAAGAGGCGGACATTCTTAAAATGTTAAACTAAATATGCACTTAGAATTATAATACTTCAAATAAGTTATTTTATAATTTGTTAAACATGGATTATCAAATACGAAGTATTTGGACAATTAGGGTTAGTCTAGTGATTGAGTGAGAAGATGTTAGAGTAATTAGAAGTATGAGAATCTAGGTTCAATCCTATTGCAACTATTTTTGTAATCTTTCCTATCTTTAAAAAAAAAAATCGAAGTATTTGATTATCAAACTCCAAAGGTATACATGCGAAAATTCTATTGTTAGTTAGAGTATGCATGATATAAATGAGTTGTAATGACAGATACGGATCAATCCAAAAACATGATGAATTCATCAAATTACGAAAATTAAATTAGTTCGAATTATAAGTTTAGATTTTATCGAAAATGTAAATATACAGAATTTAGACTGGATTATAAATTTTGATATTAAAAATTTAATATAATTTAACCAATTAATCATTATATATTATTTCTTTTATACTTTTATAAAGGTTCAAAGTTGACAAAAGGTATATACATTTTTCTTTTTTAATAAGTATGTCGCCTTTTTTATATTGTTAAAAACTTCTTAAACATCTTTTTAATTTTTTAAAATAAATTTTATTTTTCAAAAAATTGCCCTTCTTTCTTCACTACTTTTATTTCATTGTCCTATCCTTCTCTAACCATTCATGGTTGATTTTTTTCTTTACTTTTTCTTTTATTGATTTTATCTCTTCAACAATCAAGACACTCACAACTTATCATTATTCTTCAAATATTTTTTTTTTTTTGCATTTTTAACTTTATTATTTTTAAAATCCTGATTTTTAACCCATTTTTTAATATTACATAAATTAGATACAAAAGTTATTGATATTGTTTAAGTTGTCATTTTGAAAAGTGTGATCCATTAATTTTATGATTAGTGATTAATTAAAAACAATAATTTTTTACTATTATCATAAAGTAGTTTTTAAAATTGTGATATGTGATTCTTAAAATATACTTTCAAAAAGTTCTTTTGGAAGAGTAAAATTAAAAGCATTTGGAGGAAAAAAACAATGAGGTATATTTTTAATCTAATAAGCCTTAAAGTTTATCGATATATAAAAATAACAATACAAAAGAAGTTTAGAGTTTGGGTTAAAATTCCAAAATCTAACTTTCCACTAATTCTTAATATTATAATATTTCAATCGTCATTCCACAATTTAAACATTTTTCTATAGTTGTATACTTCTATTCCCACCCACTTACTAGAGTTATAACATCACTTCCTCGATAAGTCTTCGACAACTCTTTGTTAATGACTCTATGACGATGTTTTTTCATTAACAACAAACATCCTCAACTATTTCTTTCTTCTTCTTTTTTTTTTTTTGCAGAAATTCATTGAGTTTCTTTCCATTTTTGTGACTTTTTGAAAGCATAAAGTCCAAAATGAATATAATACATTTATTTTTTAACTTCTAACTTTCAATTTTGAATTTTTAAATGATAGATATAATTATTCAATAAGACGGATTGTAAAAAGAAGGGAGAAATGTAATCCAAATTAATTTGATTAAATTTAATTGAATTGAATAAAAAAAATAACACAAATTCAACCCAAATTGATACATGCCCATCCTAGTATAAGTGAAGGTTTGAGTTAGAAAGAGAACATCTCAAACTCAATGAGGTCTATTTATATTATTTCTCAATTGGTCATCTTATAACACTCCTTATAGGAGGTAGTGTGGGAAATGCCTCTTTAAGTGAATCTTTACAAAATTGTTACTTCTGACATACTATGAACCATGATTCTATATTTCAAATCAATATTGTGATTTGTCTACCACTAAAAGGTTGTTGAAGGTGTATGTTAGGGTTTGTATGGTTTAAAGGAAGGGATTTAAATGGAGGGGGAGAGAAGGAATAAAAATTTCAATTTGGTTGAGAGAGGATAAATGGAGGATTTTAATGGAAGGAAAATAACTTTTTTCTTGTTTGAATTTAGGAGGGGAGAGATTTTAAAACTAATTTACTTTTATACTTTTACAATTATAAATTTAAAAACTCAAGTAAATATATTTTAGACATTATGATAAAAATATTTTCAAACATCTCCCCTTCTTAACAAATCCTCTCAATATTAGAGGGGAATTAAAATTAGATTATGAGAGATTTTGCTCTTATCCATTTCTTTTCTCTCCTAAAAATTGAATAAAATAATAAAAGCTTATAAAAAAAATTCCTCTTTTCTATTTTCTTTTGACCAAACATTATAATAAGGTTCTAATAATATACTTTAGTTATTGAGCGAGAACATTAGCTTATCAAACTAGATTGGGCCCATATATTTTAAAAAAGGTTTAGAACATTAGTCTCCAAGCCCGTGTGTTTCACTTTAATCTTTGATGGTTACTTATTGGTTATATATATATTTTTATTTTTCACTAGTATTTTAAGGTTTCATCTTAGATTAATTTGGTTTGATCAAAAGGTTACTAAAGTCTAATCAAGGATTGTTTCAACCAAGGATCAAACTCGAATACTATTCAAACAATTCGACCTTATATTTAATATATTAATCACTTGTTTTAAACAATTAGTTTATTTATTAGTTATATTGATATCTTTTTGTTAGAATTTGAATGATGTTTTTAAGTTATGTATTTACATAATCGTAGGTTCCTTTCCTTCTTAGGGTTTGAGCTTCTAAAAACACTTTATTGTTGTGAGGTTATATAGTTTTGTTTTCTTGTTTTACGAATCCATTTACTGAAGTTTTTCCTTTGATATATAATTTGTGGGTGAAATATATGGTGGACTTATTACTTAAGTGCTCCATGAATGAACCATGATGATACGACCATTAGATGTATAAAAATAAAAATGAATGATTGATTAAAAATATAAAAAATATATTTTATAATATAAATTATCCATTTTGCTCTTAATGACACTTGTGTTGTGTCTAAAATTTATTTAAGACAAGTGTACTTTATCACAATATACTCTTAATTACATTTGTATTGCATCTAAAACGTACTTAAGACAGACGTACCTTATTATAATAGTAATAATGAACAAAATTTCAATATTAATTCCAAAGGATTAGATTCAAGTAATTACTAACTTAATCGTGACTTAGTGAAAAAAGTGAAATATTATAAAAAAACATTAACAATAAATTAAAACAAATTATCAATAAATATTATCTGTAGCATTTTGATGGTTTAACAACTTATTATGTCCCACCAACTCATATGTTTCAAGTTGGCACAATGCCCTACACGCAGCCATGGCACACTAAGTTGTTGATAGAATTACCAGTGCATTTGGTGAAGGTGAATACCGTGGAATGGAATAAAAGAGAGTGAATTTGCAAGTAATTAAAAAAATTGGTTTTGCTTGGAGCAGAGGATTTGTGGGGTTTTAAGAGTAAATAAGAATGGGTCTCACATTATAAAAAAAAAAATTACCCAATAAAATGAGGGGATTTGCAAGAAATTTCAGAAAAAGACTATTTTTCTTTTTATCTTGTTCAACAGTAGTATTTGATATAATTGATTTTGTATAAACATAGTCGAATATATATATATATATATATATCTTCTTCATTCAAATGTTAGTATCATGTTCTTGTGCTTAATGCTTGTATGGAATGATCAACTATTACATGATTT